GTAAAAACTCTTAATCATTTCACTTCTGAGCCATTTTTGCATTGTCTCACACATATCTACAGGATAACAGTCTCCTCACACACCTACCCAAGGGTCTTTGCATTTTCATTTCCTTTGCTTAACTCTTTCTCATATCACTGTATGGCTCACTTTCACACTTCTTCAGGTGTCTGCTCCAGTGTCCCTTATTAGTAGTATCAGGGAGACCCATCCTGACACCCTGTCTMTATCAGCCATCTGCTTGTCTTCACACAATAAGTGAATCTTTTCATCATGTTTTGGCTTAACTTTGAACAACTCCCCATTGACTGTCAACAGAATTTTAAACTACCTGTATTTCTAGATGTACCATTATTTATCCATTTTCTAACTCCAGCACATTTCTCACTGTTCCTCCACTCAGCCCCCATACTGTGCATTTAGAATCACTTGCAACAACTACAAAATAAGGAAAAAAAAGTGATGAAAATCTAGTACAGGTTTAAAAGATTATACTGAAATGTTAGTATATTTTTGTACTGTATTAATATTTATCCAGCTTCAAGCATTGGATAGGATGAAATAGCAATATTTGGTTAACCCTTTGAATTCCACTTGATATTCATCCCATAAAACACATGTTAATATAGCCAATATCAAAGGCAAGGGATAGAATCATTGATAGTTTAAACCTGGCTAAAATCCCTCAAAGAAAGGCTTTCCAGTAAAAAGGTATGAGTAAGTTTTCCTTTACTGGTATTATTTTCCTTTGAAAGCATTATTTCAGTCAGTTTTCCTTTTGCTCATTTAAAAGAAAGTATAACTTATCAATACTTTAGTTAGACAGTTCATTATATTTAGGTGATCTTTTTAGAATGAATGCTTCTATTAAGGCTAATGAAAAATGCAAGAATTTATAGCTCAGCAATAAATAGATCTTTCGGAAATGTTTATTGTTCCAGTTCATTAAAATGTTATATCTTTTAGACAGTATTTCTTAAAGGCCATAAAATTAATTGTGTTTTAAAAGTTTTATTGGCATATATTTCCTAGGTCTGATTTAGCCCTTATATTTAATTGGGCCGTCTCCTATAGGCTAGGAATCTGGCATTTCATATTATTTTTCTGTTTTAAAAGATAAACATTCCCCTCCGGGGCTAGCTTTTTTATTCTTGAGTGTRTTGATGTCACACTGCCTTGCATTTTTTGTGTGCTGAAATCTTGAGAATCTGTCAGAGTGAATCTGGATCTGCTATTTCTTTGTGTTTCAAAATCACGCTGAAATTTCAGTTAGAAACTACTCAAGTCCCTCGCCTGGCAGCATAACACAACTACAGTTCTGTGTATCAGCTACCAGACTTTAATCTTCAACCTTTCACTATCCAAAATAAAGACAGAACAATAAACTATTATAGAGGACCTGCAAGATACGAAGCATTGCACAGAGAGTGAAGAATGTAGTGCTGCAAATATGCCCTCAAATATAGAATAATTCTGACCCTTTCTACTGTACTTTCCATAAATCAGCTCTGTATGACACAGTTCTTCACCTTTTCTGGGAACTTGGCCTCTGCCCACTGGTCCTAACTTCAGTCGACATATGCAGGAGGAACACCTCTTCCCTTTCTGACTTCCTCAGTGGAAGAGCTCCTTTTCTACCGCTAGCACAGGTATTCAGAGCCTGCGTTTGCAGAGAATGTCCCTCATGCTTCCTAGACTGTTCAGATAACCATCTTATCCTCATCCTTGTCCTCTTTGCTCAGCCTCCTGGATAGGGTTCCTTGAAGACATGTACTCAAGGGTGGTTATCCTTTACAAATCCACCCCATCTCCCAGAATCCTCTTGAGAAATTTTAGTGTTTTCTGAAATAGTCTCTCAAAGCCTTTATTTCCTCAGTCCTGAAGACATTCGCCAAATCTTGAGTTTCTTCCAGTTTTGCTTTTCTTTTGTCATCTTTTACTGAAATACTAACAAGATTTCTAGTGATGTCTCKGAGAGTCCACTTTTCCCTTTCTTTCCCATCTTTTACACAGCTTCTAAAACCATCTTTTTAATCATGAGTCTTTTTGATTTTTCTAAGGCTTCAACATTTTGGATAGTTTCCCATTACCTAAAACATGCTTTGCAGCTTTCCCCCATGGGGCACACATTGACGAAAGACAGTAAAACGTGGAAGTAAATAAGAGGGGAATCTGAGACCTGGGAGCCACTGACCTGGGGCTTCGTGTGAACCCATGGTACATTCGCTATGCTATTCCCAGGTAGGGCTTAGAGCCCAAACTTCATGGCTTAGCTGTCTTATTTAAGATTTTCCCTGGTCCCTTTGCTCCCAAAGCAGAGGCAGGACAAGAACCTGAGTACTACTAGTTTGGAAGCAGAAGCCAGGGGTTTAATAGTGTGAGAAAGGGAGTGAAGAAACCCWGGACAGTTGGACTCAGTGCTGCTTGAGGAACTTCAGAGAACACTTGTAGACRAGGCCACAGAATTTTCCCACGCAGGGACTTCAGGAGACTGGGGGCCTTTCCTCTCGTGGATATTTAGTGGCTCCCGGGACCAAACTGTGTATGCCCTGGCTGTCCTGGAATGTACCTCAAAGACCTTTGTKCTTCACAGAGTGTCCTGTAGCTTTAGAGGATTGGGTAAGAGGAGTGCATTGAAGTGTTCACCCAGCTTCTCTGCGCTGTGTTGGCTAGAGGACATGGAGTGGGGCACTACCATCGTCCGGTCCGGTACAGTCTACTTACACCATTCAAATATTGCTGTGCCTTACGTGATGACCACTGTGTTACTTACTCTTTAAGGGGTAGTTGGCCATGATAAGTTGGAAAGAAAAAAAAAGACATATGTCTAGGGGTTACTGGGTCAGCTATAGGCTGCACTGGTTGTTTTAAGTCTGTGTTTGCAGTCACTCATCTCTTTTGAAGACCATTTCTGTTTGTCTTCAGACCATCACTTTTGCTAGTTAGAAGCGATATTCCAGTGAATCCACACACCCACAGTCTTCCTGTTGGCTTCACTCTGAGGCAGCAGTCCTGTTCTCTAATGATATTTAGGGCTGATCATCTCATTGTCTAGTAACTCTTCTCTTTGCTTGATAGTCCTAAGGATGAAAAGTACAAAGTAACCAGGCAGAGCTTAGCTACAGTAAAGYCTCTGTGTTGTCTAGTAGCGTACTGGTTCTTATCTGGGGATGATTCTGTCTCCAAATTGCACTTAATAATGTTTGGAGACACTTTTAGTTATCACATCTGAGAAGAGGGGTCACTACTGGTATCTAGTGAGTAGAAGCCAGGGATGCTACTAAATACCACACCGCTACTGTGCATCCACAACAAAGAATTATCTGCCCCAAATGACAGTAGTGCCAGAATTGAGAAACTATTCCTTTGCAGAAATGCACCACCCCAGGCAACTTGGACTTCTAAGCCCACAGYATCTAGAGCTGTGGGGACTGGATTCACACCACATGCAAGTGTGTCCCAGGGATTGGTAGTATGATGGCTCATTTCCACTCCTTAGTACCCAGACCCACTTGTAGTCACTGAGGACACATCACCAATTATCATCTGTTGGTTCAGTACATAAGCCATACTCTAGAGCATAGTGTCCTATAATTATCCAAAGGATGGGACATTTCCCCTTCATGCCTCTGGGCAGTGGTAGTCCGTGAGAAAGGACATTGGCAAGGTGACCTAACTTAATTACAGCCATGTGGAACCCAGGTGGACCCAGAAAGGGCCATACAAGAACCAGAAGCATCTGCCCTATGTAGAATATATTCAAAACATTAGGATAGTGGGGTTTCCTTTGTTGTTACTGTATGTAGTGCCAGTACCATGCAAGTGCCAGGCAGATAGTTTCACATGGGTGTTATATAATAAGTATATGTTGAATAAAGGTGAAAATTAAGATAGAGTAAAYAATTAATGAATGAACTTTTGCCTTAAGTTTTCCATGCATGGTTACCAGTTTCTTCTTAGATGAAGAAAGCACAGATTGGCATCTTTGGCTATCAAACAGCATATCTCATTTATTCTTGATGTCTCTCTTTTCTGGATTTGATTTTGACTGATTTTTTTTTTTTTTTTGTGTGGTGCTGGAGATTGAACCCAGGGCCTTGTGGGCCTTATGTGGGCAAGGCAAGCACTCTACAAACYGAGCTACATCCCCAGCCCTCTGGGTTTGACATTAGAACAAATCGTATAATGTTCATTTTTAAATTTGATATTSTCCTTTGCTCTGGAAAGATGGTTTCCCAGACATTCATGAAAGCATTGAGTTAAATCTTAAAAGGAGGTTAGTGTTTCAGTGGTTGAAGATGGAGAATAGAGAAAATAATAGAAACGTGTTCTCAGATATTAGTGAATATCTRTAGAGTAAGAAGAAATCTTTGGAAGTAGTTGGGGCTATAATTTGCCAGATCTTTGAGTACCAACTAAAGGACCCTCATACCTTTGGGACTGGTTTTGATGTCATTGTCCTGCCTCTGTAAGAAAGCTCTCATCCTAGGACACTATACTCCATRCCTAGAACTCTAATCCTTCTGTTCAAATCCTATTAATCTCTCAACTCTGCACCAGTTCCACCCCCTGTATCAAGTTCTTCCTAAGTACTCACAGGTACCCAAATATCTCCCATAGCTTTTACTTTTTGCATTTCTTAATCCCCACTCACCTAATGCCTGACATTGTTTCTCTTTTGTGTTTTATCTGCACTCCACAACTGCATAAGAAGCCAGTCAAGGACAATACTCTTCTTTCCATGTCCCGCATCAGCAAGCAGGATTCATAATTTTTATGCTACGGGATTTATTTTTTTTGGGGGGAGGGGTCCTTTTTCTGTCTTTCCTTCCTCCAGCCTTGATCCCCAACACAGACAAACAGACACATAAACACACACACACACACACACACACACACACACACACACCAGCCTCATTCAGTTTTTACTGCTTTACTGCATACTTTTTTGCTTTGAATTATTCCTGATGGGATCTTGTTTTTGTCGGCTTATTTCGTAGATGGGAAGTGATGGAATTTTACGCCTCAGTACTTCAGCTCTAAATAATGAATTCTTTGCATATGCAGCACAAGGATGGAAACAGCGACTGGCAGAAGGTAAATTTCGGTTCTCTGTTATGATGTGACATATTGGAGTTCACATACAGTATTGAGCTTTGTACCTTTCTCTGATTTCCAGGTCTTTTCCTCCCTCCAATATATTTTAATTTAGTCAAAACCTCACAGATGACTTCACTGATTCTTTTGTTGTAGTTGGCATTTTGCTGTCAGATATTTTTGAAGAAAGCAGGATATTATCTGGGATGTAGTAAACATTTTTGATGCAGCATGATTTTCTTTGAAATGATAATTTTAATTACACATTTTTTTTTGATCCTTATGCATTCTAAGTGTCCTGGAGTCTAAGGAAACTTCCGTTAGTACTTTTTCTCCCTGAAGCCTCCATTTTACCTTGTCCTTCCTTTAGTCACCACGCTTCTGGGAAAACTAAAAATTCAGTGCTACCACATTTTTACACCTCTCTGGACACAACTGAAATATTTGTTAAAAAAAAAATATATATATATATATATGCCTTCTGATGGCCAAGTCCAGCTTCCTCATCCTGTCCTTACACATCATGCTCTGTCCCAAATACCTCTTTTCTTTTTTACCCTAATATGATACCGCCTACTCTAGACATTTATAATATATTTTAAATGATTTCCTGGGGCTGCATTTCTGACAGTCCTCTCAGTTTCTTGTGGGACCCCCATCCCTTCCATTTGATGGCAAATGATATCCCCAGCATTTTCTTTTTTAACCACACATATTCTCCAAGCAGCCGTCTTCACCACCTTGGTGTTAACTGATGCCATATATCAAGAACTTCCAAATTTGACTCTCACCCTGTTCTTATCTCTAGTGTCCCATTTCAAACTCCTACCAGGTATCACTAACTGATGCCAGATACCTCAAAACCAAAGCACCCAATGTTAAATTTAGTATTTTCCCTTTCATTTGCTGCTCCTTCTTTCTTTTCTTTTCTTTTCTTTTCTTGTTTTTCACTTTATTTTATTTTATTCTTTTTTTTTGTACCAGGGATTGAACCCAGGGGTGTTCAACTACTGAGCCACGTTCCCAGCCCCTTTTTAAATTTTGCTTAAGGCCTCATTGAATAGCTGAGGCTGGCTTTGAACTCGTAATCCTCCTGCCTCAGCCTCCTGAGCCTCTGGGTTTACAGGCATTTGCCACTCTCCCTGGCCTGCTCTTTCTTTCTGTACTGTTACCACTGTCCTTGCAGCTTCTCAGTTTAAAGCCATACTGCTGTCTTTGGCCCTCTTTTCTGGCCATAACTGTTCATTGTATTTCCTCCTCCTCAACATCACCGATAAGGCTGGCACATCTCTCAGTGGCCTCCAAACTGGAGTCCTGCAGTTACTTCACTATTTTGAGAGACCCATCATTCTAAGCTATTTATATATTCATGTTCCTCCCTTGCCGAATGACAACAGAACCATCTTTCTCTTTCAGAAAAGTGCAGAACTCTCTTTGGAACTTAGGTTGGGTAACTGGCCTCAGCCGTCCTTGGCTATTTCATTTCATGCCATTTCTGATCACAATTTGCCACTGAAAAGAACATAAATATACATTCCCATAGCTCTGTGCCTTGTGATTTAATCATTTTCATCAAAGCCTGGTCATCCTTCAAAAGTTAACTAAGAACCAACTCCTATATGTAATCCTCCTTAATTGACTTAGGCAGAATTAAGTGTTTTCCCATCTCTACTTTCACTACATATATTAATCTTATGGCCTGTGTAGGACTTTTGACATTATTTCATAGTCAGTTATGTGCCTCTGCTCCCACCAGACTGATTTCCTTAAGGATGGTGAATATGCATTGCTTCCATTTGGAGCCCCTAACATGCAATACATTTGCTAAATGTTTTAGAGTTCATCTAAGATGAAATGACTATTTGAGTGATGTTCATAAAGAGAAACTGTAGAAATGTTGCCATTACTCATCCTTCTACTTTTCAACCTCCATAAAAGTTTACTCAAATGAATTGCATGTTTTCTTTATTTAGTGGCAAAAGATGTGACCACTTTTACTCAATACATTACCATTTTCTTTCCAGGAGAATTTACCCCAGAAATGCAATTACGAATACGGCAAGAAATTGAGAAGGAAAAGAAAACAGAACCTTGGAAAGAAAAATTCTTTGAGAGATTTTATGGAGAAAAGTAAGTACTAGAGCATTTTTTCTCATTTCTCTTAGAAGGAAATGAAAATGTAATTCTCCGCTTCACATAGCACACTCATATGCTGTAAAACTTAATAAACCTGTGATAAAAGGCAATAGTCCCTCGGTGTAAGAAATTGCGGGTAAAATTATACTGGCATATCAGCACTTAAATTTTTTAAAATGCATTTTCAAGGGTTTATAACTTGTTCATGAAAATTCATTTTGGACTGAAAATAGCACATGAAATCCTATAGAGGTCAATTTTGGCTTTCACAAGTAGGTTTTAGTAAAATTTCCCTGGTTTTTATCCAAGTATTTTCATTAGTAAATTCTTTAAAGATAAGTTTAGGCACATATTTAATTCTCACATCATTTTCCAAAAATATTGGCTCAGCATGTCCACTTTAATATTTGTTTAGTTTTGTTTTGGGGAAAGCCTGAAGGTATTAGCCTTCACTTTGTCCATCTTTCTCTCAGTTGTCTGTTTCTAATTTATTGTTTGTGTGTTCACATCCACTTCTTTTTTTTTTTTTCCTTCAAAAAAGTAATACCAGCCACCTCTGAGTGTGGAAGTAATTGAACTAACCTGAGAACAGTTCCAACTTTGCCTCACATCCAGCACAGATATTTTCTACTCAGAATTAGTGTCTCAGACACTCAGCATTCAGGAAAGGAAAGATTTGGGGGCTGATCTTTGACACTGACTTCAGGTCATACTCAGGAGGGGAGTTGSGGTTTTAATACCACGTTCGTAACTAAGACTTGAAAATTGTTATTTTGTGCAAAGAACACCAAGGTGGTTGCAGGTAACAAAACCTGTGCCGTGTGATCTGATTTCACAAAATTTCCCCTGTAAATGGTGAAAATAAGCCCAAAGGAGTCCTATTGGTGAGCTCTTCTGGAAAAGGACTCTGATGTTGAAGAGACTGCTTACTTGGAGGAGGGCAGCCTGGGTGAACTATCCTCTGTAGCAGCTCTCTTGAGCCATAAGGCCTGTTTTTAATTGCTGTGCCAGCCCAGTTTTATGCAAACTTAATGGAAACAGTTCGTGTATTTTCTCAAAGGTTGAATATGAAGCAGGCTACTTCTGTGTCTTCACATATAATCACCAGCAGTATTACTCAATCCTGGCCACATCAGAATCCCCATTGGAGATTGTAAATAGATACAAATTGAGAAATACTGATTGAGAATCCCAGGAATTGGACCCAAGAATCCACTCTGGTAGAAGCTTTCCAGGTCATGTCACTGCCACAGCCCAGCAGGGTTAAGAATCATGAGGACCAGCTTCAAGACCACTCAGAAACCCCCTCCTTTTGTCCATGGAAGTGCATGTTGGGGGCACTATTTTTAGTAATGGCAGAAATATAACTCAGTTAGTTACCTCTAGAGCACTGATCCTTAATTTTTGATAAGTGATGGACCTAATCTTTCATTAATTGAACAACAATATTTTATCTAACCTTTCCTCTGTGACTGACACTCTTCAATGCCAGGGGCATGGTCCCTTGCAGGGCTTTTGTGCCTCTGCCCCCAGTGAGCTCACATTAATGGGACTTTGCATTAGAGAGCTTTCCTTCATCTGACAAATAATTATTGAGCATATACTGACTGTTATGTTTCCTAAGAATTTTGTAGTATTATTTTATTCTATCATCTTAATAATTATGTGTCATGGATATTAATATTATTATTATTACTGTTGTTTAAAAAATGGAAAATTGAGAAAAAGTGAAGCTAAGTWATTTTCCCAAGTTTACACAGCAAGGTTAAGTAAATTGCTCAAAGTCTTATCCCTATAAATAGCTCTTAGAAAAATTCACACACCTGCACGGTTTTTGCATAAAATTTGGAGATTTCATTAATTTTCATGAATATTAGGTTAAGGGCTAATGTCCAAATTTTCTATTGACCGACACCATGTGCTTCTCATTAGCAGCCACAATGCTCTTAAGTATGACTCCTCATCACCTCACCAAACTGCAAACACAAAGAAATTCTTACTCTGGACCCTTTCTTTTCTGTAGTTTATGAATAATATGTTTAGTTTCTTTTTTACATGTATTTTTATTTGTTCCTTTTAGTTATTATACATGACAGTAGAGTCTACTTTGACATACTTATACAAACATGGAGTATATCTTATTCTAATTAGGATTCCAGTCTTGTGGATGTACACGATGTTGAGATCCACAGTGGTGCATTCACATATGTCCATAGGAAAGTTGTGTCAGATTCAATCAACTGTCTTTCCGGTTCCCCCTCTCTTCTCTTAATTCCTCTTTGTCTAATCCACTGAACTTCTGTTCTTCTCCTCCCACCCCTTGGTTGTATGTTAGCATAAACATATGACAGAGACCATTTAACTTTGGGTATTTGGGATTGGCTTATTTCACTTAGCATAATAGTCTTCAGATCCTTCCATTTGCCAGCAATTGTCATAGAGAATAATATTTCTTTATAGAGAATAATATTTCATTGTGTATATATACTATATTTTCTTTATCCATTCACCTGTTGAAGGACACCTAGTTTGGTTYTATAGCTTAGCTATTGTGAATTGAGTCTCTCATTCTTTTCTTTTATTGCATATTGATTGACAGATACGTTATGGATCGTTCATTTATTGCTCTTCCCATTTTTTTTTACTCTTAGATTACCCATATTTCCCCAATATGAGGGATTTTTCCCTAACATCATAAAATTTTCTGTTGACCAACACCATGTGCTTCTCATTGCTTTAAGTTTTTCCAAAAAATGTTGCCATCTAAACTTGTCTCTATTTAAGATGTAGTCTTCTGGGACTTGTTTTAGATATTTACCATAATCATTGTTGACTTAATCTGCTTATAATATAGTACTGGTCTATATTAGTTTTAGTTACTTAGAGACCACTCATCTATATGCCAACTCAGAATTATAGGTTGTTMTCTGAATTTGTGGTGTGGATTCTTGAGGTCAGTTTTCCCTTTGTGAGGAATGTGGTATGCAGTGAGTGTCTTCTTTAGTGCCTGTGCCACGGTATACCTATTGTTGCATGAAAATAATCAAATATTAGCATAAGCACATTTAATACAATGTCATTTTACACATTCACACATATCTTTATCCATATTTATATTTAATATCATTGCTTTTAGCCAACTAACAAAAATTTTTGTAGATTTCTATCTGTCATATACCTAGTGTCAGAGGTATCTCTGCTTGACCTAGTTCTGAAGGACTTCATATCCAGATGATTATTTTGCTTTAAATTTTCTGTAATATAGTTCTTCTCCCAGTATAGTATAGTTATAAATTATAACTCAGTTTGAACCCATTCTAGGGAAAGCTGAAAAGAAACTCTGAAGGAACTATTGTCCAGTCTTTTCAGAATCTTCTGAATTATAAGAAAGAAAACAATGATCAGACACCCAAAAAGTGTATTCAATTTTACAGTTTGAGAATTTTATTTAAATAAAAGACTAAAATGGATTTCACTGACATTTCTTACATCAGTACTACTATAGCTATATTTTTTCACTGTGTTTCTTTGTTAGTAGTCCCTCTTGTACTTATTTTTGTCATTGCTTATTCCCTGTTTAAACTTCATTTAGAATAGCATGTATCTCTATCTTCTGATGCTGATGTTATAATTTAATATGAAAAAAACAGTGTCTTAGAGTATACATAATTGTAATTCTGAATAGCTTTGCCTGCTGAATATTAGGCTGGATTATTTATTGATTTTCTTTACTACCTCGTATGCAATAGCTTTACAGTAAGGCCTTCTACATGAATGCATTTAAAAGTTTTGCTTCACACAAATGGAATCTGTTAGAATAACTTATTTAGAAGAGTTTCCATATTTCAAATTAGATACTGAAATAAGGTGATTGAGTAACATTTCTTAGATTACTTTAAGAGAACTAATCTTTGGATGTCATTTCAATTTCAGAATTTTGTGTATTTTCTTCATTTTCCATTGATCTTAATTAACTGTGTCGCATAATCTAAAGTCCACATAATTTTCTGTTATTAGGACATCTTTCTACAATCTGACTTCAAAAAAGTTATATCTTACACATTCCTTTGCTTTTCTGCCCATATTTTCTGATCTTTTTTATTTGGGATTTTATTATTGGCTTTATGAATACTTGCTAAGGTCTGTATTTCCTTGCTTACACAATAAAAATCTCTTTCTTACCCAGAAGTAGAGTTTGTTTTAGTTATGGTTATAAAGGTAGTGGAGAAACTATATCATTATAAACTATTTTACATAAATGAATTATTTCACTAAGTGGGATATAAGATTAATTCAATTCATTTACTTCTATCGAATAGAAGTAAATACTATGAGAGAGATCCAAGTTGTATTTTTCATGTTATGTGGTTGAGCAATAATTTAATATATCTAATTTTTGTTCAGGTTGGGCATGTCAAGAGAGGAGTCTATGAAGCTTACTTCTGGACCAAACAGTAATGGAGCTGAAGGTAGTTCTTCACGTGGGACCACTGGTCTTCAGGGTTCTTCTGCACAGACCCCCTTGGAAGAACAACAGCCCAAAAGCATGCAAAGTTCTGCTTCTTCACAACCTGATTTCTGTGCTACAGTATGTCCAATGGTCGAAGTTCCAGCTAAAGACGTAATGGCAGATTTGGAATCAGAGGATATTTTGATCCCCGAGGAAGCTGTGATTCAGGAGGAAATTGCAGAAGAAGTAGAGACTAGTATCTGTGACTGCCACGATGAAAATCACAAGACAATACATGAATTTTCAGAGGAGTGTGAAAGTCCAACCACCTCTCATGAAGAGCCCCTAATAGCACCTCCTGATGGCAACTTAGAATCCTGTGTTGTGATGAATGATGTTTTAGAAACTTTGCCTCATATTGAAGTTAAGATAGAAGAGAAATCAGAACCTCTGCAGGAAGAAATGTCAGTTGTTATTGATCAATTAGAAGTCTGTGATTCTCTTGTTCCTTCCACTTCATCTGTGACTCATGTCAGTGACGCAGAACTTAAGGAACCAGAAATTGCAATAGAGACCAATACTCCAAAAATAAAAACAGGTTCATCATCTTTAGAAGGCCAATTTCCACATGAAGGAATTGCTGTGGATATGGAGCTACAGAGTGATCCCGATGAACAGCTTTCAGAAAATGCTTGCATCTCTGAAACTTCTTTCTCCTCTGAGAGCCCAGAGGGAGCCTGCACCAGCCTGCCATCCCCAGGAGGAGAAACCCAATCCACATCTGAAGAATCATGTACTCCAGCCTCCCTTGAAACGACATTTTGTTCTGAGGTGTCCAGCACTGAAAATACAGACAAATATAATCAGAGGAATCCGACTGATGAAAACCTCCATACATCTTTGATATCTGAAATATCTCCAATATCCACTTCACCTGAAATATCAGAAGCATCTCTTATGTCTAACTTACCATTGCCATCTGAAGCATCGCCAGTATCCAATGTAGTTTTAACATCAGAAGCATCACCGATGTCTGATTTACCTTTGACATCGGAAACTTCTTCAGTGTCTTCCATGCTTCTCACGTCTGAGACCACTTTTGTATCCAGTTTGCCACTTCCTGCAGAAACATCTCCGATTTCTAATTCTTCCATGAGTGAAAGAATGGTGCATCAACAAAGAAAGTCACCTTCAGTATCTGAAGAAGCACTCTCCCCACACAAAGATGAACCCTCTGCTCCTGCTAAACCCCTGGGAGAAAACCTCATCTACCAGCAGAAGCCTCTATCCAATACTCCTGAGCCCATCAAAATGGGTTCTTCTTCCATTGCTCCTGAAGCGTTTCCATCTGAAGAACTTCACAATAAGACCCTGGGTCAGCAGCCCTGTAAATCACATGTTGAAATTGAGAAGCCCTATCTTCCTTCAGTCCCAGAACTTTCTTCTACAGAAATGATGAAAGTTAAAAATCTTAGTGTCCTGCAAAGAACAGAAAAGAAAGGGCTATCCTCCCCGTTAGAATTACCTGCCTTCTCTGAAGAGACAGAGAGCAAGGGAAATGAGCCTCCATCAGCTAAATTACAGGACAAGCAGTACATCTCTTCGGTGGATAAGGCGTCATTTTCAGAAGGCTCTAGAAGTAAAACACATAAGCAAGGGAGCACACAGAATCGATTGGAGATCTCGCATACTTCCAAATCATCAGAGCCCTCCAAGTCACCAGATGGGATAAGAAATGAATGTAGGGAATCAGAGATATCAAAGAGGAAAACTGCAGAACAGCATAGCTTTGGAATCTGTAAGGAAAAGAGAGCTAGGATAGAAGATGATCAGTCAACCCGGAACATATCATCCAGCAGCCCACCCGAGAAGGAGCAGCCTCCAAGAGAGGAACCCAGGGTTCCCCCTCTCAAGGTAAGATATATATATATTTTAAAGATATGATTTTTTTTTTATTTTTTAAAAAATATTTATTTCTTAGTTGTAGTTAGACACAATACCTTCATTTTATTTGTTTTTATGTGGTGCTGAGGATCAAACCCAGGGCCTCACATATGCTAGGCGAGCGAGCGCTCTACCGCTTAGCCACAACCCCAGCCCTAAGATAGGATTTTTTAAAAAGGAAATTGTATAAGAGGCTTCCCTTATTAAGAAACTTAACTTTCAGGCCAGGCATGGTGGCATACACCTGTAATCCCAGTGGTTTGGAAATTTGAGGCAGGAGGATTGTGAATTTAAAGCTAGCCTCAGATATTTTGCAAGGTCCTAAACAACTTAGCCAAACCCTGTGTCAAAAAAAAAGGTGGGGGGGTGGGGATAGGCTCAGTGGGTAAGTGCCCCTGGGTTTAATTTCTGATACCAAAAGACAAAAAAGAAAGAAAGAAAGAAACTTAACCTTCAAGAATAGATTAGGTATTTCAGGTGTTTTTCTTTACAGTTTTTATACCACAATTCACAGTTAATCCTTCTAGCATCCAGTGTAATAGTAAATGATTCTTTTTAAAACTATGCAATGAGTTCATATCAGGTATTTAAACATCAGTATTTAAGGGGAAAAATTAAGAAGAGGGAACAGGATGTGGAGAAGCATGGAGTCCACTAAGACACTAGGACTTTTGTGGATCCCAACATATAGAACTCCACACACTTGGGGAAAATGTGAGAGATATTTCAGTGACCTAGAGAAAGTAGTCTAAAGTCAGAGGGCAAAGTGAAGGTACATGTTATTCCTGCATTCATTTTCCAGCTAACATTGAAAACCATCATTGCTTAGCAAAGATGACCTGATTTATGGCCTCATTAAATATTCCTTGAATAAATTTATAAAATTGCCTTATGAACTGTGAGGGAGAATAATGTAGATACAGAGACATACAAATCCTGATTTTTATTTCCAAATAGAAAAAGAGTCATTAATTTCACAAAGTAATAAATCCGCTGTGTGCATGCCTGCAAATCCCAGCTATTTGGGAGCCTGAGGTAGGAGGATCACAAGTTCAATTCTAGCCTGGATAACTTAGCTAGACCTTTTCTCCAAATAAAAGGGACCGAGAATGTAGCTCAGTGCTTGCCAAGAATGTGCAAGGCCCTGGGTTCAATCCCCAATATTGTAAAATACTATTACTATTATTATTACTACTAGTAGCACTACAACTACTAGTAGAACTATAATAAAGTCTCATGATTCCAATAAATTTTAATTCTCATTAAACAAATCTTTTATATAAATTGGATCTGCCTAAGTRAACTGAAAATTCAGGTCAATTCAAAAGAAACCCTCTGTTTAATTAAAAAATTCAAACCTAATGTTATTTTGATTTGATGTTTCTTATCTAAGCCAATTTATATTTTTGTACAATAAATTAGAGTATTCCCCCAGTTCAGGATTAATTGGAGTTATAAATATCTCAAGCTCTTAAAAAATATCCTTCTTTATTCTTTCATATYTATTTTTATAGTCAACTCATAATCTTCACAAGGTTGACTTGTTTGTAAGAATGTGGTTGTCGTCATTCTATTTAACAAAGCAATTTCAATTAAATAAAATTCTAGAGATGCAAGAGATGAACACTAAACTCCAATTAAAAATCCATTATTGGGGCTGGGGTTGTGGCTCATTGGTAGAGTCCTTGCTTGCCTAGCATCTGTGAGGCACTGGGTTTGATTCTCAGCACCACATAAAAAAAATAAGTCAGTAAATAAAAATTCAGTATGTATTTTAATTTCTGAACCACAGAAAGAAAAACATAAATATCATTTTTAGAGGAAATATTTTTAAACATACCAGCCTGATTTTTTTGGTCTAAATATAATTTTCAAAATGATATGCACTTTATTAATAGATAGATGGATGGGTGTTAGAGATGTTAAACGCATATTTGATGTTTGGCCTTAAACTCTTTTTTTAAAGAGTGTTAGATTTACTTTTAAATACGTTAATTTTTTTTTTTTTTAGACTGGGAAATATTTAAAAGGAACAATTTAATTCTGTTGCCAAATTCACCTCTTCTTGTCATAGATTAGAGGAGAGGCTTCATAAGTGATTTACAAATGATAAGGAGACAACTCGGGAAGATGGTAATTTCATTTATCAAGGTTCCAAAACGTAATTCCAAATAGAAATGATCATGTAGTCGGTGTTGCAATTATAGTGTAAATGTATCTGTGTTGGGGGTCGGGGAGGTTTTCTAAGAATTTTTTTTTTCAGAATGGGGGGCAGAGAAAACAGACTACTTTAAACATCCTGACTTGGGAGCCCATAGATACTCTCTCACTGACTGGTTTATATGACCCTATGTCAGATGACTCTACCTTCAAAGGCTCCGTTTTTTTTAAGTGGAAAATGAAGACTTTAACCAGAGCCCTTCCAGCTCCACAAACCAATGACTCTGAGAATCCTCTTACTGACTGGAGCATCACAGCATTGCTATGGGATTCTGGGTGCTAGGTCTTGTGCCTCATGAACTTGGCAGTGATTTCATGTGTCTCTTCATTAGCATAAGTAGGCAAAAAGTGTAGAATGCAACACGGTTCCAAGTTCAGCTGATCGTGCATTACCAACATCAAAAGAAACTGCCCACTCCATACTTTCTGGGAAAGGCAGAAAATCAGTGTTGCTCTTGCTTTTATGAAGATGTAATGATGTAATGATAATGTAATCCCTTTGGAAAACTGTGCTCTCACAAATACAGTCTCATGCAATCTTTATAACAGCCCTGTGGAGGAAATAGACCAGAAATAACTCATTTCATTTTACAACTGAGTTTACAAACTCATATAGTGTGCGTATTACACACCTATAAGGCAGCACACCAGGTGGTATAGGAGTACAGTCCTTGGCCAGAGAGAGTTACCTGTGAAACTGAGGTACATAGTAATTTGCTACCATAACAGAGTGCCTTTGTGTGATACCTTTGTATGAAACCAGGATAATTCTCGTCTCCCGTCCTCTTGACCTGGACTTTTTTCTTTGGGTCGAATTAAGTCAGGTCAACTCAAACAGAGTAAGTGTCCTAGTTGTTTTTTTTTTTTTTCCCCTACTCTAGCAGGGAGAATGATTTAAAAACTAAGCAGATCCCAACCTTTTTAGCTAATCTTATGGTACAAAACATGGATTTTGTTTTCATGTATGTAAGACATTAAGACAGTGCTTTATTTCCATGCCAAAGCAAGTCACTGGTTGATTTTTAAAACATCCTTTCATACTCGTGTTGCACTTACTGTTGCTTTACATCCTAAGCGCTCATTCAGAGGTGTAGTTCATTTCATGTTGTGGGAGAGCACTGCTTGTTTTCCAGTTGCATCATGGCCTCCCACATGCCTTCTCTGCCATCACAAATGAAGTGCTTTTTCTTTCTGTTCTTTCCTCACAGATCCAGCTTTCCAAAATCGGACCACCCTTTATTATCAAGAGTCAGCCAGTCTCCAAACCCGAGTCTAGAGCATCCACTAGCACCTCCGTCAGTGGGGGGAGGAACACCGGAGCCAGRACCCTTGCAGACATCAAGGCCCGTGCCCAACAAGCTCGGGCCCAACGTGAGGCTGCTGCAGCTGCTGCAGTAGCCGCTGCAGCGAGCATCGTCTCTGGCGCTATGGGGAGCCCAGGAGAGGGTGGAAAGGCAAGAACCCTGGCACACATCAAAGAGCAGACCAAGGCTAAGCTCTTTGCAAAACATCAAGCCCGAGCCCACCTCTTCCAGACTTCTAAAGAGACCCGGTTGCCTTCGCTCAGCTCCAAGGAAGAGCCTCCAAACTTAGAAGTCTCTTCTACCCCTGAAACAAAAATGGAAGGTTCCACCGGGGTCATTATTGTCAATCCAAATTGCAGGTCTCCTAGCAACAAGTCCGCTCACCTCCGGGAGAGCAGCACTGTTTTACAGCAGTCTCTTAACCCCACTCAACTTCCAGAAACTGCCACTGACTTATCTGTACATAGTTCTGATGAAAACATACCTGTGTCCCATTTATCAGAGAAAATTGTTTCATCTACCTCTTCTGAAAATAGCAGTATGCCCATGCTTCTCAATAAAAATCCTGTCCCTGTGTCTGTCTGCAGCGCTGCTATGTCGGGAGCAATTAAGGAACACCCCTTTGTGAGTTCTGTTGACAAATCCTCTGTGCTGATGTCCGTCGACAGTGCAGCCACTACCATTTCTGCTTGTAATATAAGCATGTTAAAAACCATCCAGGGAACTGACACTCCATGCATAGCCATTATACCAAAATGTATTGAAAGCACTCCTATTCCGGCCACTACAGAGGGCGCCAGTATATCCAGCTCCATGGACGATAAGCCACTGCTCATACCAAGCAGCAGTGCCACTAACTTAATCTCCAGTCAGTACACCTCTGTGCCAACTCCCTCCATTGGAAATAATTTGCCAAACCATCTCTCCACTAGCTCTGTCTTGATTCCCCCCACGGGAATGAACAGCAGATTTCCTTCTGAGAAGATAGCCATGCCTGGGAGTGAAGAACAGGCCACCGTATCCATGGGTACCACTGTGAGAGCAGCCCTCAGCTGCAGTGACTCAGTGGCGGTCRCCGACGCTCTGGTTGCACGTCCGCCTGTCGCAATGTTTACGGGAAACATGCTCACTRTAAACTCTTACGATAGTCCTCCGAAGCTAAGTGCTGAAAGCTTGGACAAAAATTCAGCGCCTCGAAACAGGGCAGACAGTTCTGGGAAACCTCAGCAGCCACCCGGGGGCTTTGCACCAGCAACCATAAACAGATCCATTCCCTGTAAAGTCATTGTTGACCACAGCACCACGCTGACCTCCAGTTTGTCACTGACTGTTTCCATTGAGAGTGCAGAAACCAGCTTGGACCTCCAGAGCAGGTCTGTGAGGACAGAGGTATCCATCCAGCCCATGGCATGTCCTCAGGTCTCTGTAATTAGCAGGCCTGAGCCAGTGGCAAGTGAAAGTATAGACCACAGTTCGAGTTTCATTGCTGCTTCTGCAGCCAAACAAGACTGTAAAACCCTGCAGGCCACCTGTACCAGTCTCCGAGAACTGCCCCTTGTTGTTCCAGACAAATTAAACGAGGCGGCTGCTCCTAGTCATAGCTTTGCCGAGCAGACACGGAACCCAACTACTTACAAAAGTGAAGCAGACACAACCTGTAGCAATCAGTATAACCCAGGAAACCGGATCTGCTGGAATGAGGATGCCATGAGGGGCACAGGACAGCCTCTGGTCAGTCACTCTGTTCCAGGTAAACAGAAGGAATATGCAGAGCAGAGCTGTCCGAAGGCCATCAAAACTGAACACGCCAGCTACTCGCACGTGTCAGAGCTGCACCCCAGGAATCTCATAGCAAACGTCGCTCTTCCTGTGAAATCCGAACCTCACGAAGTGGACAAGGGCTTTAGAATGGACACCGAAGACTTCCCTGGCCCTGGGCTGCCTCCGCCAACGGCAGAGGTAGCCGCCACCATACCACAAGCACAGAACCTGGATGCTCCTGCGTCCAGTGCCAGGGAAGAGGCCATTTCCCTGGTTCCAGACACCCTGAAAAGAGTTCCGAGTGCAGGAAGCTCAAGCTGTCGTCTGTCATCCGTGGAGGCTAACAACCCACTGGTGACACAGCTACTGCAGGGCAACCTGCCTTTGGAGAAAGTGTTGCCACAGCCCAGACTGGGTGCCAAGCTCGAAATCAACAGGCTTCCTTTGCCCCTTCAAACTACCTCAGTGGGTAAAACGCCACCAGAGAGGAACATCGTTGAAATGCCTTCCAGCTCTCCAAACCCAGATGGTAAGGGCTACTTGGCAGGGACTCTTGCACCACTACAAATGAGGAAGCGAGAAAACCATCCCAAAAAGAGAGTAGCCAGGACTGTAGGGGAACACACTCACGTTAAATGTGAACCAGGGAAGTTGTTGGTGGATCCAGATGTTAAAGGGGTGCCATGTGTCATAAATTCAGGCATGAGTCAGCTAGGACACAGTCAGCCATTTAAGCAAGAATGGCTGAACAAACACTCGATGCAGAACAGAATCGTTCACAGCCCCGAGGTCAAACAGCAAAAGCGGCTGCTCCCCGCGTGTAGCTTCCAGCAGAACCTATTTCATGTTGACAAAAATGGCGGTTTCCACCCTGATGCTGGTACCTCACACAGACAGCAGTTTTACCAAATGCCCATGGCTGCCAGGGGCCCCATTCCCACTGCAGCTCTCTTACAGGCCTCTTCCAAGCCCGCCGTGGGCTGTAATGCATTTGCCTTCAATAGGCATCTGGAACAAAAGGGATTGGGAGAGGTTAGTCTTCCTTCAGCACCCCACCAGCTAAGGCTAGCCAACATGTTGTCCCCCAATATGCCCATAAAGGAAGGTGATGACGTGGGAGGGGCTGCGCACACCATGCCAAACAAAGCACTAGTGCATCCTCCACTGCCCCCACCTCCTCCACCCCCGCCCCCTCCGCCCTTGGCCTTGCCCCCACCTCCCCCACCACCACCTCCACTACCTCCACCTCTTCCTAATGCAGAAGTCCCGTCTGATCAAAAGCAACCGCCAGTTACCATGGAAACCACTAAGAGACTTAGTTGGCCACAGTCCACGGGCATATGTAGCAATATAAAATCGGAACCTCTTTCTTTTGAGGAAGGTTTAAGCAGCAGCTGTGAACTGGGCATGAAACAAGTTTCCTATGACCAGAATGAAATGAAAGAACAGTTAAAAGCATTTGCGCTAAAAAATGCAGATTTCTCTTCCTATTTGCTTTCTGAGCCACAGAAGCCTTTTCCCCAATTAGCTGCTCAGAAAATGCAGGTGCAGCAACAACAGCAGCTCTGTGGAAATTATCCAACAATACACTTTGGTAGCACGAGCTTCAAAAGGGCAGCGTCTGCAATTGAAAAGTCCATTGGGATTTTGGGAAGTGGCTCTAGTCCTGCCACGGGCCTGCCTGGTCAGAACGCTCAGATGCCTGTTCAGAACTTTGCCGACAGCAGCAACGCGGACGAATTGGAACTGAAATGCTCTTGCCGGCTGAAAGCCATGATTGTGTGCAAAGGCTGTGGGGCCTTCTGCCATGATGACTGCATAGGTCCTTCAAAACTCTGTGTAGCTTGCTTGGTTGTACGATAAGAGCTGAGTGAACGATGCAGTATCCCTTTTTGACATGGAAAAGCCAAACAGCAACTGCAAATTGAATAACGTAGTGACTGACTTACATGCTAATTTATTTTACTTTGTAACAGATAATCTTTTTTTCATAGGATTATTATTTTCTTGCATTTTTTTATAATGAGGAGGATGCAAACCAACTGACTGGCTCAACAGCATGTTGAGCATATTTAATTGCCATTCCCAGCTTCAAAAGTTTCTCTCTGTGCATATACAGGTTACTGCCCCATTCCTCCTTCACCCCCTTTGAGCCCAGGTACAGATAGGAAAAGGACAGTTTTTATTGTTTCGTCACCAGAAATGCAGATGTAGAAAAAGGAATGGTAAAAATTAAGGTGGACATGTATTTTTCTGTCAATTAGCTATTACAGCAGGTATTTCTGTACTTGCCGTTACCAGTCATTTTTGGAATGGGGAATCTGATTTAAATGTGTGATTCCTTGTATTTATTCATATCACGAAAGATACATTAAAGAAGGCATGCCATTAATGAAATTCACTGTCTCTGTTCTCTTTTCTCCCTTCTTACTCTCTCTCAGAGACAATGGCAGAAAATAAGTATCTGCCGTGAATTGTACACAGATTTTAGTGAAATGTGTCCTGTGTCTGAAATAGCAGCGTGGGCCTCATACCCAGTAAACTGGATCTAGCCCCTGGACACCTGATAATATAAGATCGGTTGGCCAACATAGAGTCACAGGCCCAGAAAAGTTTGGAGCTTCATGTATGACTTTTAAAACCAAGTATGAAAAAAAAAATCATAAAATTAAAAGCAAATAAAATACTGTATGTGCATGTATAAGTGGTTTGACTATATACATATTAATAATAACTTTCACTCTAATTAAATGAGTAGATATTAAAATTTGAGGGAAAATAATCGTAGCCCTTATTAATGACACAATGTATTCTGGTCTCTACCTCAGTGGAAGTTGGCCACCTCTTTTTACAAGTGTCATTGATGTTCAAAGGGACTTCAGAAGGTTCAAGTGTGACATTTTTCTGAACCATTTTATTTTCTCATGATTCAGTCTAATTGTATTTGACTCTGAAATAACCCTTATTTTTTTTTAATACATTTTTAGGTATTTTATGTTTTGATTCGCCCCCCTCCCCATATCTGGGACCATAAACTGCTTTCAAAAAAGGGATACTGCATCTTATAATTATCTTCAGTGTTTATCCAGTTAAGTCTGAGTGTCAAATACTTGAGCTACATTCCGTAGACGCTGGTCGCCATCCTGCTGGAGAACAGCTGTAGTTCAGGAGGCTCTGTTCCCAAAAGCAAGTTCAAAAGCACATGCACATGTGGGAAGATGAAAGCAAGCAAAAGCCACGCCCATTTAACTTCAGATTCCAGAGCACAAAATGTGGAACACCATTAATCCATTGATTGATTGTGGCTGTAGAGTTTTTTTTAAAAAAAAAAAAAAAAACGGGGAAAATCATCTTTATCCAGGGTAAGAATGACAGATGTTTTCACATGGGATCACTCTAATCAATGTAAACCTTTTTGACATTCCCTGAGAACATGTCTTATAAGTTAACCGGAATGTACAGAAGTTACATTCCTGAAGCAAAATATACCTGTAATTATTTTATGAGCAACTATGATATTTTTCCCTCCATATTTATTGTGATGTTGCCAAATTTCTTTTAGGTAATAGGAGACATCATGTTTATTAAAAAATTCCTGATAGTGAAAGATACTTAAGAACAGCAAAAGAAGTCCTGCCCTGTGGCCACGATTAGGTGCTTCAGTACGATTAGGTGCTTCAGTACGGTCACTTCTATCATTCATATTAAAATTGACAAAATGAATGAGAAAGTTAGCAATGCACTTAACCAGCCCTTCCCAAGGAATGCAGCATAAGTGCCAGTAGACCTGTAGTTCACTTCACTCCAGGTTACATTTGGATGGTGTCCTTTTGGATGATGTCTTTATGGTCTGCTTGGCTCTGATTTCGTCTTAATTTCCAAGATCATGTTCTTAGCCTCACGGTGGGGCACTCATAATATAGACACTTGTATGCCAACTTCTTCCAAATTCAGTCGCTGCTATACCAGTGTCAGATACTGTCTACACCAGCAAATTGAAAACTACCGCATCAGTAACTGACACACATTGAAAGAAACTCCAGTCTACAAAACCTTTGCACTCTATGTGAGGTACAGTTGAGGCCGATGTGATACTGGGCTCATTGTCAGTTCCATCAGTGTTGAAGACTGCCTGCAAGTTGCTTACTGGGAATAAAGAAAAGTGTCCTTCTGTATGTTTGGAGTTTTCACATCATACGTTTGGAGAATCACTTGTTGATAGTGCATGATTTCTCTCACCCAGGTCCAAAGAGCATAACTTTTTGTGCCCTTACTCTCTTTTTTGACCCAATCCAAATTCCTACTTTTCGAATATGGTTTATATCACTGAGAAAATGAAAACCTTTGGGCTAAAAAAAAAAAAAAAAGAAATTGAGAAGTAAAATGTGGGTCAGGTGTTTCATAGGTGTCCATTTAATATATATGTACAAAAGCCAGTATATTTGAATTAGGTGAGTAGGTTCTTAGTTTCTTGATTTCTACATGTGTCTGCCTATGTGCAAATAGAATATGTTATTTACTACATGGTTATTGTGGTATAATGTGCAAATTTCAGTGTGTGCATTATCCTGATTATTGAACACTAGTAGATCTCTATCAGGAATAAACTTGCACCTGAAACATTTTTTTTTTAATCACAAAGGATGTATTTCCCTAAGTAGCACTTTTGGAGCAGGGGAAGGACGAAAACTGCTATTCCCTCATCCCCCTCCTATATGATATGCATATGCCTGAGTTATATAAAGACATTTAGGTCGTTAATGGGCATGTTAATAAGAGCGTTCTGATGCAAATTCATTTTCAAAATGATAATATTTTTTTCCTTCCCCAAAGTGAAAAATGGCAGAAATCTTGGTGAACTGAGCACCATAGTTATATATAATATTTCCCTGCTAAGGTCTAGTTTGAAGAAAAAAAAAAAACTTGAAAAACAAACCTGTGAGGTTGAGCCTGGGTTGCTATAAAGACTGTGGTGGTGTGTGCTTCTGGGATGAGCTGTAGAAGGCGTAGTTGACTTCCGGACCTTGGATATTCTTACTCAGTTCAATATAAACAGAAAAACAAGCCGGTGTCCGTGGTGCTTTATAGTGCAGTCAAGAGTAAAAATACATGTTGTTGCAGCCCCATTCCTTCACAAACACTCGCACAATTTCAAAAGAGGAAGTTGCTGTGGCCTCTGGTTTCCCAGCTTCTCCGTGGTATGAAGTCCCAGGTTTTAGAAGCTGAAGCCAATCTTAGGGGGTGCATCGTCTCTGTGGTGTGGAGGCCCAGCACTGCATAGCTGCCTGGGGGAATGACCCCCGCCGAACACGCAGAGCTCAGACTCACTGTCCATCTGTGTTCCCAGAGAACAATGTGAAGAGTCCTAGAACAGGAACTCATCAGACTGTCAGGGGCCTATGTAGCCAAAACGTCACTGAATAGAAAACTTCTGTTGTCTTCAGTCCTCATGCTTTGTCACTGTAAAGCGAACAAAAAGCATTTTTACTATAATTTAAAGGAGCTGCTTTTTTATAGCACATACTRTTTCGCTTTGTACTATATTTGATAGTTGCAGAATAATTTAGACTGTAGAAAAACTCTGTTGTATTTGTACTGTTCATGAATGTTCCAAGGAAAGTGCTTTACTTGGTTGCCATAATTTTCTTGTACTGCTGTATTTTCCCCACTGCTTCATGAAAACCTAATCTAATTCCTATTTTCAGTACATTTTTTTTTTAATGTGTGTTTGTGTGAATTTTTTTTTTTTTTTTTTTTGGTCAGTATTCTGAATGTTTACATCTGTTTGACATTAGCCATTTAATGCCTTTTTTGAAAGGCGGAATTACTCCTACAGTGTAACAGCAAAATGTGAAATCAACCCAAACATAACATGCATGACAAACAGAATTGGGGGCGAAGGCCCTGAACGTACATAGACATTTTATATCAGCATACAGAAAAGTAAAAACCCTCCTTCAGTCCTCTACCAAAGAATATATTATGCCCACAGGAAAAACTCAGAAAGGTGTGTAAAATCCTCAGAAGGGGGAGCAGTTGATTCAGTAAGATTGCTACAATTTAAAACTGTTATGCTTGCTTTGATACCTGACTAAATGTGACTGAGTGCAACAAGCATTTAAAAAAATTTTTAGACAGTGTTTTGTTTAGAATTCAGGGATCATGCATTCTTTAATGGTGCTGTTTGTTTTTTTATTTCTTCTTTTCTACAAAGAAAAAAAGTGTTGCCTACAAAAGTGACTGCTCACGATACCATAAGTTAAATGAAAGGAAATGTTTGTCTCTTCATGTTTCTCTGTTTTTTCCCTTTCTCGGAGTAAAAATTTGGGTTTCAATATTAAAATATTCTGGAGAAAATAAAGAAATTAAACATGAAATACTGTCAGTTTTAATTTTTTAATGAAATGAGGTAGTTGATATACATATGCAAAATGTACTAATGATACATTGAACATTTGATTAAAAAATATAGGGAAAACTGTATCCTGTTAAATTATCTACACTTATTTTCAGTATAGTAAATTGACAATGTGTGGTTATAACTGTTGTTAATACAGTAAAAACTAACACTGAAACCTCTGAAATTAATGGTATTTGCTATGCTCACCATTTAAAACTATATTTGGACCTTCTTGTTTTCATAAAGATGTAAGTTTTTATGCCAAAAAGCATTCAGGTCAAACAAATTGTTACTTCTGGATTTAATTTCATCTTTCAAAATGAGTAGTACATAAAATGATCTTTTAAAAGAATTGTTCTGGTTAATTTTTTTATCCTACATTAAATATTATTGCTAGAGTTATTTGAATAAGATTCTGTGAACCATTAGAACAAAATTGCCTTAGTTCTATTTACATAGGTTAAAGACATCTGCATGTCTTTTCGGTAAGCTGAATCAGAAAACATTAAGCATAATTGGCTGTTAGAAATCTGAGTTCCACTGTTTTCATCTACAGGGAAAATGTTGTCTTTAGCCACCAGATGGCGAAAGAGGATGTTTACTTTTGAAAGGGGGAGACGGTGGGGGGAGAACAAAGCAGGCTCCTTCCTCTTTCCACAACTGAAATGACTTGTGATAGTGAAAGTCCAGCTTACCCAAGGAAGGCAGAGGATGGATATTCCCAGGTTTCATTAAATGATGGCATTTCTTTCTTTGTGCCACTTTTCCCCTACTAACCTATTTACAAAATACTTTTGTAATTCTATTTAGAATTGTAGATTTTTTTCTTTGCATCACATTATTCTTCTAGTCCAGAATCCATCAGATGAAATCAAATACTCCAGCACTCTTTAAGCTGATATTTATTAAAAAATGATCTGAATGCTGTTATGTACTTTAATTCATGTATTATGAGAATACATGAGTATAATTATATAGTCTTTATTTTTTTAAATTCCATTATTTTTAATACATCAATGAGACCTAATCTGAACAAAACTCTGCCTTAGGATTTAAAGTGTTCACTTGTTTCTATCATAACCCTTATCTATGAGCAAGCGACTTTATCTGATAATTTCTCAGTTTTCACATACATGCTTCATTGTATTATTAACTCCTCCAGAGTTAATATTACAAGGACAGAGCGCATATAATTAGTCACCCTGACATGCAAAAATTAAAAGTTGGAAGAATCAAATGTAAGTACGACACTGTCCTCTTCCCTKCAGAAACTCTTATCGAAGTTGCCAATGTAACTAATTACCATACACTCTCACTACTTGGAGAAATATTGCCTGATTTACAAAACAAAAGACTGAATATTTTACCATTTTATTTCAAAAATCAACTTTGTTTTGCAGCTGTATTAAATAATATGGTGACACCTCACTATAAGTAAAGCTGATATTAAAAATATTTAGCAAAACTGTGGGGCCTTAACCAATTCTAACAAATGCTAGACGTATCCACAGTGATGATTTGTGAACATCAGATCAGAGCACGCTGGCTGAATAGCAATCTGTGAATGAAGAGGATGCCTGAGTCTGTGTTTATCAGTGGTTAGGATTTATACTTGGTACACTCACTGCATTTACGGGAAAGTTTGTTTCTAAGGTATTTTTCTTAAGCAAAAAATGCCATTTACATTCTCATTTGTATATATATGTGTGTGTATATACATATATCCACACCCCTACATACACACACACACACACACACACACACACACACAAATTTGTTTATTTTAAGCAAACACAATGAAAAGTCCTGGTGTTTCTCCTTTTGGTATTTTTCCAACTAGATCAGTGGATGCTTCTCACATGGACTACTTTAGAAGGTCAAGGACATTTGAAGGTTGTATAAAGACCTTCTCAACTTCCATGGCTTATCACAAAGTATTACTTTTATCCTAAGCTTATAAATGGAAAAATAAATTTCATTTTTGATTCAAGCACTTATCTCTAGTTTCAAATTATGGTTTATTTCAGGAAAACACTGCATTCAGAATCCTTCTTTAATGATGAGAAAACAGMGAATTCAGAGGAGTTCAAGACTGAGGTTCTGTTTTCCTTGATTTGTTTGGCTTTCAGTATCCAGTACTGGAAATGTGATACCATCTTTCAGTTCTAGGAAAATGTGGTTGGCTTCAGTGTCTAGGAAACACAGAAGCTTCACTTGGGTATTCTCTCCCACATAGAAGTTGCAACATTTATGTTTCCACTTATGTATTAATATTTTTAAAATTTTTCTGTGATATATACTTCCCTGGTCAGTCAGTTTAAACCTCAAAGTGAGAAATTAAAAACCTTGAAGTATGAGTGGGGACAGTTCCCTGTGATAGCTTCTAAGTGGAAGCTACAAATATATTTTACATCCCTTCTTTAACCGGTGGATTCAATACAGATTTTTTTAAATTGTTTTTTTAACACTACATGTGTTTTGGTAAAATCTTTACATTAAAGATGAAGAAAGAAAACAAAGCTATGGGAAATTGGTATCTTCAAAAGAAACACTTAACAATTTTAAAAAATTAATCACATTCAGAGTAGGACTCTGAATGATTCATTTATTACCTCTAATGTTCACTAACATAATGCTAATATTCTTGCTAAAGCAGGTTCAGAATATGCACAACAACTTTAAGCCATCAGAAAGACAGTGTGACATTGGTAGCAGTCATTCCCTCCCCTCCTCTTCCTTTCCATGTTTTGATAATGGAATGATTCGATAGTTAAAAATCTTTGCTTGGCAAAAGAGAAATCAAGGATCTCACTCTTTATAATCCCAGTTTTATACTTGTGATTTTTCTCAATAATAAATAATTGCCAAGTCTGTAATTCTATGGATTTTTTTTTTAGGTTCTCTTCATATGAATAAGCTTTTAAGGTTTTAACTATTCACACCAAATATTCCAACTTCCCTGGGCTATTCCAGAAAGGTGGACAGTTTTTATTTTAAAAATAATAATTGATAACATTAATGAAATACTGTATACCAAGGGCTACAAAGTATTTTATGAATTTTAATTATATTTATTCTTACAAAAACTCTGTAAGGTAGGCACTGTTACTATATCTGTGTAATAAACAAGGAAAATGAGGCTTTACAGAGCTTAAAGAATACTCAGCTAAGATCTGGGCTATAAAGGTTTTTGCAGAGACCATAGCCCATCTCTTGGAATAAAACCTAATTGCTGCTACACAGATTCTGGTAGATGCTGGGGATTTTGAGAAAAAAATGAGCATATCCCAAACCTTGAAGAAACATATAGACTAGTGCAAAAGACAAAATAATTTTAGTGTGACAAAAGTATAGCCACGACATGTGCAAGGTACAGCAGAGAAGGAAGCAACCAAGTGTTTGAAGCCATTTAGGGTTGCTACCAGCAGGAAATGGCTCAAGAGAAGCATTGGGTCCCATACCTGATGTGGTCTAAAGACAGCCTCAGGGAATGGGGAGTAGATTATTCCCTGTGAGTTCCTTGGATCAGGGCTTATTAATAAAGACAATGATCTCTTCAAGGTGTTAGATACTTTACATAGTTCAGAACTCTGTCACCAAGCCCTTCTTTCATGAATTTGGAAATATATTTAGATGTTGTTAACAATCGATTCTGTTTGGGGCTGGGAGTGTATCTCAGTGGTTGAGTGCTGCTTGCCTAGAATGTGGAAGGCATTGACAAGATCCCTAGTACTGCCAAGTAATAATAATTGATTTTGCAAAAGTTAACATACTAAAGTGATGTTTGTGATTCCTGATGTCCTTGGTGGTCATGCACTTTTTAATACTTTTTAAAATCAATGTAATACATATTCCTATATTAAGAATCAAAAAAATATGACAGAGACTACCTCAAAAGGTTGGCAGTGCTCCAAAACAAATAACAATGTGGGATGTTAACACTTTTTAAAGAAGCAAATGTTAACTTCTGACTATTCATATTATTCAATAGAGTTAAATCAGAATACCAAGAGCTAGTCTTGCACTTGCAAGTTATGAGTTTGGATAAAAGTCAGGGAACTTACTAATGTCTTGTCCAGTTCTTTTGAGAAATAAAAGCTTCCCATCCTGCTGATGATCGCAGATGGGAATGGGAAGCATTTCGGTCATTGGGGGACAGGAATATAACCACCAGATAATACTGAAAATACAGTGCCAAAAACAAACATGATCTGTATCAATACTTTTCCAAGGAAGTCTTCCCTGTATGAGTTAATCCTACTGCTCCCTTAATTCTGCATTGGGAACTGGGAACAAGTGGTGGCTGAAACTACACAGAGAAGCCTGGTCTCTAGTGTCTGGTGCTATATGTCAAGCAAGGCTCTGAGAATGTGGCTCTGGGTTATTCACACTCCTGCTCACCAAGTGAGTCACCAACTTCCCCCAAAAGACAAAACCATCTTACGTGTAAATATTTCTCTTAGAGCCATCTGGAAACCTAATATTTTCAGCATTTTGACAAGTACATATTTGAAGATATTGTGAAACGAAGAAATTTATTTTGGAGATTACATTCAGTGAGAAATTACATTTTCCCATCTCCAGCAATATATTCTTTAAGTTTCTTTCTACTTTAGGAGAATGTGTCATCTCAGTGACTACAAGGACAGTTTACTCCCTGACCCTCAGTACTTGTAAGGGGATTTTAAGGATGAAGGCACTTTGCATGCAGCATTCAATGAGCCAAAATCCATCTGATACTCAATGAACAAACCTTTTTTTTTTTTTTTTTGATCATCACCTCTATGCTAAGCGCTCTATTATATGGAATACCAAATTTTACTGATGACTTGATTCTTCAAGAAAAATGAAGCTATCAAACATTTTTTTTTTAGTGGGTTGTAAAACCAGCATCGTATCATGGCACATCTTCATAAGATGAAGGATTTCTCAGAAAATGCCATTCAAATGTGTCTTTCCAGGACATAACAATTTCCC